CCCCATGAGATAGGGCCTGGATGGCTCCATGCTTTGGGATGAGGCTTCAGCATTTATCCTGGTATGCCGTGAGACACTCATGCCAACACCATTTAAGGAGCAAAACTGGGAAGATCCCCAGCATGTCTCGACAAGAGGACGAATGAAGAGCATGGAGTATTAGATGAGGGCGAAGATGACAGATGAGCGAGCACTGCCACCAGCAGGGACGTCAGGAGCAGCACACGCCATGCAGCACTCACGCCCATAAGGCCTGAAACTCAACAATGCATGTGTCGGGACACGAACGCGTGTGGCACGCTGCATTTAAAAGGCAGGGGAGTGCGGTTAGCCCCAGGATGCAGGTGGCCTCGGGTGGACAGACAAGGCTCGGGCATCGAGGAACACAAACGAAAGCCAGCCCTTTCCTTGCGTGAGTCACCTGCAGCAGGTCTCTGTCACTGAGTCCAAGGAAGCCTAGCAGATTCGCGAGGAAAGGCCGTTGGATTTTTTTTTTTTTGGAGAGATTTTCACTGTAGGGCGCGTGCGCTCGCCAGACAGACAGAGAGAGAGACATAGAGACAGAAAGTGAGAAATCACCCCCCAGGGGGAATGGTCACGCCGCAATCCCTTCTCCTCCATTCTCCTCTCGGGATCTTGGGCACGCACGCACACGCGCCCGGCATGAGTTTTTTAAGCCACCGGGTCCGGGACACGAACCGCGGTCGACTACGTGGGAGTCCAGCGACATAGCCATTACGCTAACTGCTGGTTCCCTAGGCCGTTTGATTTCGAAGCACAGGTGCAGTTCAGGCGCTGACGGCAGAGACTGCTCAAGCATGTCCTGCTCCACAGTCTCCTAACTGGTCTCTCCCGTCAGCCTCCCTCGCCTCCCAGCGCCTTCCAGGAAACACTGCCCTCCATGCAAACACGCTGCATTCCGGTGTGCTCTCCACATTCCCTACTGCAGTGGGGCCCATGGCTGCAGCAGGTCCCAAGCCCGTCTAGGAAACAGGTGACTAGCAAGGGTGGCAGGGGTGTGTGGGGATGTAGCAGCTGCTGGGTCTGCTCCCCCCCAGGTGAGAATTCCCCTACGCCTCAGAGATGAGCACGCAGCAGCCAATGGCCTAGATCTGCAATCTAATGAAATACCATCTTTTAAAAGTAAAGGCCAAATAAAGCAATTATGTGAAGAGTATGATTACCACCTGGCAATCTGGTTCTGAATCGAATCACCCGCCACGATGCCTATAAATAAGCACTACCTCCTGCGAATTCCACATTCTCCGAAGAAAGGTAACAGCAAGCTGGCCGGGCGCGTGCAGATCTGAATTAGCCACTTGTGGGGTAAAGACAGTCTATATAAAGTGGGGTTCTTCCCAAGCTTGCTCATCAGCCTATTAGAACAGAACACAAGTGCCTGAGGGAACAGAGGGTCGCCTCCTGGGGGAAGGGCCTCTGACATCTCAGCCCCCGGCCTGCAGTCCTGCTCGCGCAGCCATTCCCCTCAATGCCAAACTCCTACCTCATCGTGAAATGGAAGCCCAATGACCCAGAGATAATCTGAACAAACCTATTTCACCGAGGAGCTTTCGCTTTCATCTTCGTTAACGCCTGGGTCCCTGTCGATGCTGAGAGCGGGATTTATGTGCGGCTGCTGGGTCTGGTGGAGCTTTAACGTTTGGCCCATTTGTCTGGTTAACTGAGGCAGGAGGTATTTCATGTTTTGTAGGCAAATAAAAAAATCATTTTCTTTTTCTATTAAAAGATCACTATATTGTTCTCTTCATATTTTAACTTTAAAGAGTTTTAAGAACATTAGCATGTCACCAGATGAACTTCACTAATCCTTCTCACCACACATCTAATAAGCCCGCATCTTCT